CTCTGGCATGCCTGCAAACTCCATTGCCTTGTGAGCTAAAAAATGCACGAACATAAATTGGCACGCCCGGTGGGACCCCCACTTGGTGTTAAAAGAATATGCAATGCCGCGGCTAAAGAACTCTAAGGCCGTAGCCACAGACAATGATCCGGAAGAAGAACATCAACCAGCTCAGGTTGGTAGCTCTACCTTGGGCCCTGTTGATGAACTAGCTATATGATCTGAAGTATCAATGGTTCATGCACATGTGAGCTCTTTAGTAGAAGCGATGGAAAGAATAAATGCACGTTAAAATGACATGTACAAAACAATATCTCAGCTTTCAGTCGCCATTATGAATTGGCCGGCTTTGGCTGGGAGTTCCAACAATCTGAAATCGGCCACTCAGCCTATTTCGTCACAGGTTGTTTAGCCATCAGCGACTGCTCAGCAGTTGCAACCATGGCCACCGGTGGTTCTGCTTCAATCAAGTATGACAGCAAATCTCCGAGTGAATTTGCCACCAGCTTGGGCAGAGAACCAACCATAGCCAATTATTTCAATTCAGTCGTTTCCTTTAAAAGTCCATATCAACTTAGCCAGTTCATTTAATTTATTTATTTATTGCATTTAAATTTCTTTTAAACATTGCTATAAAATGTCCTTACATCCAAGGTAGAAAAAAAATCCAGCCGAGAGTTCTTCCTATTCTCTCTCTTACACAATTGCTTGAAGTCAGCCACCAAAAATGATAATTTGGTGTTCAAATCAATTTTTGGAGTATTTACATACTCTGTCACGCCCGCAAACTTCATCAGTCTTGTGAGACAAAAACAAGTGAACACGATATATATATATATATATATATATATATATATATATATTATTTTTATTTTTATTATTTGGTATTTGGCAAAACTTTACATGATTGAATAAATTATTTTTATTAGATTTTAATGAAAATTTTTTATGATAACTAAATATCGAAAAACACAAAAAAACCCCAAACAAGCGACCGCCTAAAATAATAATAATAATAATAATAATAATAATTACTGTGTGGAAAGTCCAGCACCACTTATCCATTATTGGCTTATGTGGGTTCCATAAATTATTCCAACATTAACGCAAAATTCATTTAGCGGCTGAACTGACATGCCCCATGTGTAATGCGACAAACCTCTTTGGGTGCACGTCTCTTTCATACAGTAGCTAATGAATTATTATGTTCTTAGCTCTTGCTTTACCGTGACAACATGGTCCTTTGCTTTTACAAAATTTTCGATAAAATCCAAAGTTTTCAGTAGCTGAACTAACATGCCCATGTGTAATGTGACAAACCTCTTTGGGTGCGTCTCTTTCATACAGTAGCTAATGAATTATTATGTTCTTAGCTCTTGCTTTAGTGTGACAACATGGGTCCTTTGCTTTTATAAAATTTATCCTAAAATCCAAAATTTTGATATTTTCAAATTTTGATATTTTGGAATTAAAAGTAATAAAATTTTGAAGGACAATTTAGACTTTTTATACCTTTTTAGGGCCTATTTAGGTCTCATTTTTTATAGCGGAAAGGTTGTCATTCTACAAAAAGTACCTAAGTATCTTTAATGTAAAATGCTATTTTTTCATACCAAAGTTATATTTTAAAATTAGTTATAGTGTCAAACTGTTATATTTTAACAATTCTGCTCCAATGATGCATTTCATCCAAATTAAATGCTATTTGGATTGTATTATTTTCATCCACTTGTTATATTTTGAGAAACGGCACCATACGAGAAAAAAGAGACCTTTTAAAAAATTTTGAGAGCTGCTACATATGGCAATATTTTTGACAATTTCAAAATATGAGAGATCTTTTGAGAGTCTATTGGAATGTATTATTTTCATCAATTTGCTATATTTTGACTTTGAGAGACTCTTTGAGAAGATATTGTAGATGCTCAACTGATTATAATAAATTTAAATTCAAAAAAATATCAGTATAAGTTATCCTAATATTAATTAACATAATATAACTATTTTTTCTTTTTCTTTTTCTTTTTAATGGAATCCCTTAAACTTTCAAACTTTTAAAAAGTTCGGTAATAGATTTTTTTTTTTTTTTTTTTTTTTTTTTTTTTTTTTTTTTTTTGTCATTTAAAGGCATAAAGGCCTAAAGCCAAGATGGCAATACAGAGACATAAAGTCAAGCTAGAAAAGGCATACAAATCTTGAAGGAAAGTAAATAAATAAAGAATAGGCTTCAGATTTGAAGAGGAAGATTTGAAGAGGAAATAGAGCCCAACACTTTGCAAATGGAACCATTATGGGATAAAGCAAGAGAAACCGAAAGGTTTGGCCATCAGCACGACAACCGTTCCAAAGTTACAATCACAAAGCACTCCAACACATAAAACCCCGCACAAGATCCAATCAAGGAGAAAATGATCAAATCTAAGCGGGGAAAAATCCAAAACCGGCCTAGATCAAAGAGCTAGTCGGAGGAGAACAACAGATCTGCCCATGTGAGACGAAAACGAAACAAACAAGAGCAAATCGAGCTGAACATAAACAAAAATGGCATAAAAAATACCCATGGAGCGCACTTATTCGAACATGCCGGGTTATTGCATCCGTAAAAAATAGATGATATATTGACTATTTGATGCATAACTTACTTTTGGCTCTTGCTTTAGTGTGACAATATGTATCCTTTGCTTTTGCAATCAAGTCTATCAGGGTTGGCCAAAGATGTGGCTTAAAATTTTAATTTAATTACAAAAAATTCTTTCAACTTAATTCTTTTCTTCTCACATTGGATTCCACCACTGGTGAATAAAAAAATTACACTCTTCAAAATGATTCCTGATGAGAATCTAGAGGAGCCTATGTGAAATAGAGTATAATTTAAGTACTAGTTAATTTATTTATTTTTATTTAAATGTACTCCTAAGTTGAAACTAAATTTTAGATAATATTATTTTAGGGAGGCGATATTCGCACTCTATTTTTCTACACTTATAAAATATTTTTCTTTTTCCTTTAAAGTAAATGACAAGAAAACCCCTAAACTAATTAATACATCATCTCTTATTTCGTTATACCCTAACTACCCTTTGCACCATAATATTTTTTTTTTTTTTTTTTTTTTAAGGAGTCTAAAACCAATAGTAATTCATTGCAAGCCTCTCTCTCGCTACTCTCTACCCGATTTGAAGACAACACAAGCTCTATTTTTCTCCTTTGTCATTTTTAATTAAATTTTTAAAGGAGATGATATGATTTCCTTGGATATGGTCTAAAACAACATTTTTTTTTTTGTTCTCAAATACACATCCACATTACGATTAGGGTTTTATTTTCAAATATTTTCTCACTTCCTCTTTTTTTTTTTTTTTTTTTTTTTAATCATTTTTCACAGCATATTACCTATGCTTTAAATAAGGCGGCCCATGTAGAAAGAGGAGAATATGAAGTGGAAATTGAGAAAAAAAAATATATGTATCTCCATTGTGCGTGTGTGGAGGAGACTAATAAGAGAGAAAATTGAAAAAAGAAGAGATGTTGACACACCACTCCAATTCAATGGCAATTAGTGTAATATCTATTTCTTCCACAGATCATATGTATTTTATTAACTGCAACTTAGTTTTTTCTCTGTCATTTAGGTTGCTACTATAAGGTTTTTTTTTTTTTTTCCTTTCTGAAATTAATATTTAGTTGGTAGCAATGTGGCTACATAATATCCACTTCGGATATGGCCCAACTGTTTACTCACTTGATTTTGGAGCTTAGCAAGCCCAAGGTATAGGGTTCAAGTCCTGCTAGGTGTTCTTTGTGGTTAGCCTTCGCTGTCCCTGCAGTGACTTACCCGACCCGGGTCGGGAGATACTCTTCTGGATCCTCGGGGATTAGTCGGGTTGTTGAGGGGCCTTAAGGGTTCGTGCCATCCCGGACACCGCTGGTTAACTAAAAAAAAATGTGGCTACATAATTTTACAATGCCTAAATTAAATGAAGAAGATAGAAACATGAATTGGGGAGAGAGAGGGGAGACAGAAATATCTTTCCAAAACTGAAAGGGTAATTGTGATATTCTAAAAAAAAAATTATTTATTTATAAAATTAGGGATAGAAATGTCATTTCTTTTAATAGTGTAGAGAAGTAGGGTGCGGATATCCCCTTCCTTATTTTATAACCATTAAACAATAAATCTTGGAACAGAATCTTAAACTGTTGTGGGCCTTCTACTGGCCAATTGTTACAAATTTCAAAAAAAAAATTATTCACCTATGGTGGAATCCAATAAACCATTAAACAATAAATCTTACTTCATCCTACTGAGAAATTATTAGATTATCCTGAGCCATTAAGACTTGGTGGATCAGTTAAATACAAAGTCTAGGATTGAAAAAATGGTCCCAGAAAAATATATTAATAAATTACAAAATTTCATGATCGGAGGGTTCTCATTAAATTAGTCCACCAAGTATCAAATAAATCAAAACCATCTAATAATTTCTCCATCCTACCACATCATCGGCACCAGTCCTGCCCTAAAAGGGTGTCAACATAATGTCATCAAATATTTTTCTTCCTTTGATTTTTCTGGAGCTGGTCTCTCTTCTTTTTATTTTATTTTTATTGTCGATCATTTTTGAATTTTGGTATTTTATTTTTATTGTTGATCATTCTTGAATTTTGGACTTGATACCATAAAGCAAATGTGCTATGTTTTTGATAAGCGTGTGTGATTTTTTTAGGTTGGAAATGAACAAATACTAATAGAGGTACTTTACAAATTGGAACTATATTATTTCGTATTACATAAATGTTATATTTGTTCTTGTTTAGCTCAATGAATGTGTGATTGATACCAAGGCCATGTGGCCTGATGGTGGGGATTTGAGTCCCCTCAATAGAAAAAAAAAAAATTTAAAATTGAGCGGTTGATAATTTAAAAATATGACTGACTTTTATGTTTTAAAATTTATCACAAAGTTTATATGTACCGAGAAAAAAACAAATAAATACTCTAATTTGAGAAATTAGAAATTTCTTTGTAGTTCAATGTAATATCATTTACATACAAGAGTCTGGTTCCTTCCTCAATAAGTTGTTTTGGAATAACATTTGGAAATGCAAAATCCAGCCCAAAATTTAGCATTTTCTATGGAAATGTTGTCAGAAGGCTATCCCAATGAGGCAGCTTCTTACTACTCATGGTCTGGAGGCGGAAGTGGTGTGTCCTAGGCATGGATTGTACGAGGAATCCATTGAGCATTTGCTTTTCCTATGCTCCCATTCCATCCCAGTTTGGAAGAGTTCACCGCTTAGATTGGATTTTTCGACTACTGCTCCTTCCTCCTTTTTTGATTGGTGGATGGATTTGGTGGGGAAGTGGAAAGATATGGATGGGGAATGGATGTGTTGGGTTTGGCGGCTTGCTGTTGTTTGGGAATTTAGAAGGCCCGAAATAAGTTTGTTTTCGAGGGGGCAAATTGGGATGCTCATAGGGTTGTTTCGATGGCTTGTTCTCAGTTTTGGGAATACAAGGATGCATCATCTTTCCCTATCTTTGGTTTGTATTTCGGTTTTTTCGTTGCTCGTTTTTCTTCGCCTCCTAATTCTTCTCTTTCACTTTCAAGATGGATGCCTCTAGGAGATGGTATGGTCAAATGCAATGTGGACACGTTTTTTTTAGCTTCAACTCATGTTGGAGGTGGTGGCGCGGTTTTTCGTGATTCATTGGGCACTATTTTGCAGACTGTTGTGTTTTCTCCTTTTCCTGTTATTAATGTTGTTGTTGCTGGCTATTTGTCCTCGTATAGCGGTTCTTTGGGCTCTTTCTTCTTTAGTATCGCCAGTCTGGTTTGAGTGTGATTCTTAGATTGTGGTTCAGGTAGACCGATTGAAATTCAACCAGTTGTTTTTGATGTTCAAGTGCCGCTTCGGAGAATTGAACATTCTCGCCTTAGCCATGTTCATAAAAATGGCAATGAAGTTGCTCACGCTATTGCGAAACTTTCCAAATGTCATATTCCTCAAGATTTGGCTCTTGATCATATTCCTAGTGATATTCTTGTATTAGCAGCTAAGGATTGTTTGTCTTGCTAGTTGTTGTTGTTATTGCTGTTTGTTAGGTTAAAAAAAAAAAAACAAAAAAATTAAAAAAATTGTTTGCCTTGCTAGTTGTTGTTGTTATTGCTGTTTGCTACAGTACAAAAAAAAAAAAAAAAAAATATTAATTTTTTTTTTTTTTTTAATTTTTGTGTGTTTTGTGTCGGTTGTGTTGGGTCCATGGACTTACTCTTAAACTAGATTGAATATTGAACGTTCAACAGGCTTGTCACTGCTAAGTCTATCTTTTGCTACTCTTCTCTCTCTGCAAAAAAAGAACAAAAAATAAAAAATAAAATAAATAAAAAAAAAAGAAAAAAGAAAAAAAATGGCTGAAACAGTGGGTGGAGCATTTCTCTCGGCTTCCCTTTAGGTGCTGTTTGATCGGTTGGCTACTCCAGAGTTCAAAAACTTCTTTTCCAAACAAAAAATTGATGACGAAATCTTAGACAAGCTTAAGGTAACCTTGACGGCCCTTCAAGCAGTGCTGGATGATGCGGAGGACAAATAGATTTCCAACAAACATGTGAAAGATTGGGTTGAGTAGCTCCAACATGTTGTCTACCAAGCTGACGACTTGCCACGAAAGCCCTGAGGAACAAGTTGGAAGCTGATGATCCCCAAACTGAAAGCAGCAGAAGTAAGGTTAGTTTGAGTCAATTTTTCAATCTAATCAAGCAATTTCTGTTACGAATTAATTGTTTCGTCTGCTCTCCTGCTTATCATTCTGATAAAGCATTAGAGTCCAAGATGAAAAAGGTCATCACTAAGTTGGAGGAGTTCGTCAACCAAAAAAATAGTCTTAAGTTGATTGAGAATGTTGGAAGACAACAGTGGCAAGGACAAGAAACTTCTTCTGTGGTAGTTGAATCTCATATCTACGGGAGGAATAATGAGAAAAATAAGATAATAGAATTGTTGTTGTCTGAGAGTGCAAATAAGAATCAGATTCCTGTGATCCCCATTGTAGGAATGGAAGGGATGGGAAAGACAACCCTAGCTCAACTTGTTTACAATTATGCTAGGGTAAATGAGAAATTTCATGATATGAAAGCATGGGTTTGTGTTTCCGATCCATTTGATACTTACAGGATAACAAAGAAATTTTTTGATGATCTAACCGCATCAAACTTAGACATCAAGAGTCTTAATCAACTTCAAATCAGGTTGAAAAAGATTATTGAGGGGAATAAATTTCTAATTGTCTTGGACGATGTTTGGAATCATGATTACAATGATTGGGACTACTTAATAACACCTTTCAGTGTTGGCGCGCCAGAAAGTAGGAATATTGTGACATCACGCATTGAAGAGGTCCCATTTAGAATGGGCACCGTTCCTAATCATCACTTGGAGCAGTTGTCGTTTGAAGATTGTTGGTCTTTATTTGCAAAGCATGCATTTGGGAGTGCAGATTATATGGCTCACTTGGACCTAGAGGGCATTGGCAAAAAAATTGTGAAGAAGTGCAAAGGCTTGCCCTTAGCGGTAAAATCATTAGGACGTCTCTTGCGGTCTAAACATGATATTATGGACTGGAATAATATATTAAAAAGCAAGATTTGGGATTTGGAGCGAAATGTTCTCCCAGCTCTAAGATTGAGCTATCAGTATCTTCCTTTGCATTTAAAGCGTTGCTTTGCATATTGTTCGATATTTCCAAAAGATCATATATTTGAAAAGGAAAAGTTAATCCAATTGTGGATAGCTGTAGATCTTGTGCGGCAACCCAATTTGTTATTGGAAGACGTAGGTAGAGACTACTTCCGTGAATTATTGTCAATGTCTTTCTTTTAGAGATTAAGTCATGACACTAATTCTGGTTTTGTAATGCATAACCTAATCCATGATTTGGCTCAACAGATTTCTGGAGAGTTTTGTTTTAGGTTGGAAGATGGCAAGCCCCTTAATAATAACTATGAAAGAGTCCGTCATTTTTCGTATGTTCAGGGCGAATATGATGCATCTAAGAAATTCAAGGATGTTAATGAAACCAAGTGTTTACGGACGTTCATACCATTTTCAAGACACAAGCGAAGTTCTTTCTTAGGCAACAAGGTACTAATTGACATGTTGCCAAGTCTAAAATGCTTAAGGGTGATATCTCTATCTCAATATTACATTTCTGAATTGCCAAAATCAATCATAAATTTGATTCATTTATGGTATTTGGATCTCTCTTGGACAAAAATCAAAGAGTTACCTGATTCAGTAATAACCTTGTATAATTTACAGACATTAGATTTGTCATATTGTGAGAATCTCACTGAATTGCCCGAATACGGAAAAACTAATAAACTTGGGTCATCTTTATATCAAAGAAACTAGATTGACCGAAATGCCAAAGCAGATAAGCAAATTGAAAGATCTCCAACATTTAACATATTTTGTAGTTGGCAAGGATGGTGGGTCAAGGATTAGTGGGTTGAAGGAACTCTCTCAACTTCGGGGGAAGCTTAGCATTTTAGAGCTGAAAAATGTAGCCAGTAGTCTGGATGCATCAGAGGCCAATCTGAAAGAAAAGGAGCACCTTGAAGGGATAGAGCTAAAATGGGGTAGCAATACTGATAATTTACCAAAGGAAGTAAATATACTTGACAAGCTACAGCCTAATGCAGGAGTGAAGAATCTCCGAATCATTAACTACGGGGGCACAAGATTTCCGGATTGGTTAGAGAGAGCTTATTTGTTTCATGACATGATGTCCTTAGATCTTATAGGCTGTGCAAATTGTTATTCTTTGCCGTCAATTGGGCAGCTACCCTCGCTAAAATATCTAAGAATTGAAAGGGTGAAAGCAATAACGAAGGTGGGTCACGAGTTGTACGGGGATGCTTCTTCTTTGATCAAACCATTTCAATCTCTGGAAACACTAAGCTTTTATGAAATGTCAGAGTGGGAAGAATGGCATACATCAGGAGTTGGAGAGTTCTCTCACCTTTTAGAGTTTTCTATGGTGGATTGTCCTAAATTTACCAGTGAATTATCCATTCGCTTCCCATTTATAAGGAAGCTTAAAATTTCTAAATGCCAACAGCTCGTTTCCAATCAAGCTAGGTTGTTGCTACAAAGCATTTCTTGTGTTGAGGAGTTGGAGATTTCAAATATTCAAAATTTGATGGAATTGCTGCAGGAGTTGTGCAGATTAGTGAATTTTGAAAGGTTGAAGATAGAGGATTGCCCAAGGCTTGTGTCATTTCTGGACGTGGGGTTGCCGCCGATGCTTAAGACTCTGGAGATCTACACATACGACGTTCTACAGTCCCAAGGACCAGCAGTACCGTCAGAGGAAATCATGAATATGATGCACATCAACAATTGCCTTGAAGAGCTGCGTATCTCTTTTTGTGCATCTCTTCTTCAGTTGTCTTTTCCCATCGCTACATTGAGAACACTCGACATCTCGTGCTGTGAGGGATTAGAGTTTCCCCTGTCCGAGGAGATGGAGGAGCATAATTACTACACATCCATTGAAGTTCTGAGGATAGATGGAAGCTGTGATCTTCTCCGGTCGCTATCCTTAGGCTTCTTTCCAGAGCTTTGTTCTCTCAACATCTCGCGGGGTAAGAATTTGGCAACGCTTTTGATCCCAAACGAGCTTCAGAATCTGACATATTTGTATATTAGTAATTGTGAGAAACTAAGGTCGCTGTCGCAAGGAATGCACACCCACCTCCCATCTCTCGAATCATTAGTGATAGAGAAGTGTCCAGAAGTTGAATCATTTTCAGCCGGAGGTTTGCCATCCAACCTGCGTTCACTTGACATCCGTAATTGCGAGCAACTGATGAAGGGCAGGACGGGGTGGGATTTGCAAACACTCCCATCTCTTGGAACATTCAGCATCACCGGTGTATATGGAGAAGAAATGTTGGAGTCATTTCCAGAGGAGTGCCTATTGCCCTCTACTCTTACCTCTCTTACCATCGTTAACCTTCAAAATCTGAAATCACTTAACCACAAAAGTCTTCAACACCTCACCTCTCTTAAAACTCTGTCCATCAGTTACTGCCCTAAGCTCCAGTTCTTGCCAAAAGAGGGGTTGCTCAACTCCCTCTCTTACCTGGATATATTCCAATGTACATTGCTGAAATCACGTTGCCAAAAGAAGAGAGGGAAAGATTGGCCGAACATTTCCCGAATTTGCCACATAAAGATTGATGGTGAAGACATCGTAAACTTGGAGTGACACACACTGATGCATGCTTGCATTGGATTCCTTTGGTTTCTGTTCGTGCATAAAACCCCTCACTTTCCTTCCACTCAGATACGTACTCTGTTCTAAACACTGTAGTAGTACAACATCTATAACCATTAGTTGTTACTTTCTTCTATCTATTAAATTCTCCCTCCCCTCCTTCTTACTTAATCTTTTCTTACAACATATAAAAGTCCTCCCTTTTTTTTTTTTCCTTTTTTTTTTTTTCACATTCATATTTCATTTTCTCACAGTTTTCCATTACAACCAAACAAGTAAAAAATAATGAAATACTTTATTAACTTTTCTTTTCTTTTTGATTTCAGATTTTCAAAGAAATGCTAAACGTCCAATTTCCTTGTAACTTGCAATGTCACCAGAGGGATTTTGTATTTGGGTAAGTCACATTTTCATTACAATATTTGATCAAAATACTCTGAGCTTCTTACCTGTTCCGCGGTTATTTAAAATCTAAAATGGACTGTCCAGTGTAATTGGAACAGGCTTGGTGGAGATGCTGTTTCTAATTTGACTCGGTGCCTAAATTGTGGATATTTTACTGTATGCTTGAAAATCAGCAGTGGGGAAGAAATTTTTAATAGTAATTTATATATTCTTTTATTTTGGATTCGCTGTTGATATTATCAATTATTTTGTTACTTCCGCTAAAGAAATGCAGTTTGGCATTATTTCCTATATGATGTTAGTAAACCAGAATTTCATGTTTTTCACTTTTGGAAAAGGAAAACTTGTAACTGAATAAGGCATTAAACTACTTTAAATATGGCCCAGGCTTGGTAAGATGAATAATACTTTTTTGTGCTTATATATAGGTGATGGTTCTGTTTGGTTAGAGTGCTGTTACTATGATGAAATTTCAGGTAATTTCCGATTTAGTAGAACATTCATGGATAAGTAGGTGATGGTTCTGTTTGCTACCTGTTTCTGTTTTGTCCATATATTCTTCTTACTTTCAATTTCTTTTTTCTTGGCGATTATAATGATTCTTCAATGTCAAAAAATATATCTTTTAAATTTATTTTCCTCGATCAAGATCTTTTAAGAAGACAAACATCTTCATGTATTGACTCTTTCCTAATTGGATACTTTGCATAGGTTCATGTTACGAGACCACATAAGATTCAAGGAATTGGTGCTGGCGTCATCCATGCTGTTTTGGACATCAACATTCTTGATGAAGTTGTTCAAGTAAGCCTCAAAATGTGCAATCTATTTAACTTCTTTGTCTTTCCTCTTTATTTCCAAATTTTCAATGAATTCTCCAAAAAACTGCTAAACCTCAGATTTTTTTGGCACTGTAACCAGAGGGAAACATTGGACTTGGGTAAGTCACAATTTCAATACAACAACGAATCAAAAACATCTATAGCAAGAGTCATGAACTTCTCTCTGTCATGAGCCCCTCATGCACATGTCGAAATTCTAGTTTGCAAAATAGTTAATGACGTTAATTTGTTTGATAAATTCTCAACAATCTCGTAAATTGTGGTATCTTCTGCCAGCACTATGGTTGGCAATAAAATATTTCCTAAGCTACGGGACAAATATTCATTCTGTTTGGATTTATGAAGCAAGCTCATATGGACCTGGGCATGACCTGAACTTTTGAACTCATTCAGTACCATGATAAGGTATGCAGAATTTTATTTGAATAAGTTTTGGTGAATATTCAACTACAATGTGCTGAACTAGCTAAGATTGGTTTCCGTGTATCATTGGGATCAATGTTTGGTTCAATGCTAAAAGCTTTGCCTGACAAGGATGAGGGTATTGGAAAATTGATTACAAACCACAAGAAGGCTGTTCCTATACAACTTGCCCAAGGCTTTGGACAGACTTTACTGGTCTTTGTTAGGTCATATTCTCAGTAAGGATATTAGATCACAAACATAGCAATTCCATTATATAAAGAGTCAATGTAACATTTTTGAGACATACTTCATTGTCCTTGCGAAATTGTTGGCGAGGTTTATGAACTATTACCTCAGTTGCTACTCAGTTACATATTTAAATTCTAGTTGGGACGATTTATTAATTACTTCTATCGATTTTTACTAAAATATCACACGTTTGGAAATCATGGTATATTCTACTAGCTTTAGGTTTTATTCAGTCTGCATAACACTCGAATCTTTTATTAGTGGCAGCTCGCATGCTTGAAGGGAACTACAGCAAGTTTCATGTGCCCTTTGAGCTCATATGAATCTAGGCATGATCTGAAGTTACCCGCTTAATTCTACAATGAGGTAGGTGATTCTTCTATCATCTTTTCAAACCACGAGCAGACTATACTCGAATCATTTTTGGTGAATATGGTACGATGAGCCTGTTTGGCCTTGAAAAAGCTTGCGCCGGTTCTGGTGGAACCGGGTGGGCGTGCCAGGAGCTGTAGTACTTCCAAAAAGAGATCCAAACAATATTCCAGAGGGAAGACTGCGGGACCAGGCGATTGTGTTGAGGTCTGGAATGAACACCTCAGGGTTCTTTTTGCCTTTGATAAAGGACTTCGGGAAAGTTAACTGGCTAGGAGGAACTGAGAAAGTAATTGGAAAGACTGTAAAATTATCTAATGAAAAGTAAAGTGCAGGACTGAAACTAATCATATTGAAAGTGCATTACAATGAAAAGTAAGGATAGTATTGAAATGCGTACTTTGATTGGCGTTGAGCAGACCTTCTAAGTTACAACATATGCCCTATTTATAGAATTTAGTAATGGTAACTTGCATGCAACCACTTGCTTCCTAAACTGCCATGTGTCCCACTTTGCATGTAACTGCTTATAACCGCTTACTTCCTTGGCTGCCATGTGTCCCACTTTGCATGTAACCGCTTGCTTCTTTGGCTGCCATGTGTCCTAAGACTTTCCACTGGAATGTCGTAGTAACTTTCCATTGGAATCGACCAGCTTCCTAGGCTGCCATGTGTCCCATGTTGCATGTAACCGCTTGTAACCGCCCATTTCCTAGAATGTGTCCCATGACTTTGCATGCAACCACTTTTAACCACTCACTTTCTAGGCTGCCATGTGTCCCATGACTTTGCATGTAACCACTTGTAACCGCTTGCTTCTTTGGCTGCCATGTGTTGTAAGACTTTCCACTGGAACGCCGTAGTACCTTTCCATTGAAATCGACCTTGGTAATCTTCAACTGGAAAGTGGGAAATAAGGGTGTAAACATTGCCCCCCAAATTTGATGTGCTTGATATTTCTTGAAGAATTGTAAGGCATATCAAATTTAGATTTGAGTGAGAATTTGCCATGTGATATTCTAATTGAAATAACTAAAACTTTTCAGCTGGAATATACCCTTGGGCCGAAAACTTTAAGTAGCTTTATTTAACTAAAACGAAGATTTGAAGTCTCATGTCCAATTTCATTGCCCCCTGGGGTCTGGAGGTTTATGAGGAGGACGGATTTGTACATCTTCAGGCCAAATACATAGTTGAATGGCCAAGTTTTGCCCCCCAAAATTCATAAGATGTGAATTTGGGACAAATAAAATATTAGTATTTTTTTCGAAATTGGAAGAAAAATACTATGACCGTTATATTCTTCATGTGGAAGAATACATAACGATTGAGAAGCTTATGCCGTTTCCAAAGGAAAATCTAGCTGTGGAAAATTTTCTTCCAATGGAAGAAGTGATAATGGCTTCCTATGGAAAGTCTTGTCGACCTTCCTCATGACCAAGCCACAGTCTTGCTGGGAGAAGTCAGCAAGTTGGCTTGTATTTTCTGGCCAACCTTTGGGTAGGTTGGCCATTGGATGCCCCCCAAACACCACTGGAATTGGGTTTGGGTCTGCCAAAGGAATATTCCTCCGGCGGATTGGATTTACTCCTTGATCGGGAGGTTTATTTGGAGGGCGTTCAATTTCGAATGCCATTGGAAAGGCCATAAATGGCCTTGGTGGTGTGCTTTTAGGCTACTGAATGTTTAAAAGTGGAACATTCTGTTGGACTTGAAATTGAACTTTTTGGACTGTTACTGGTGGAGGGTTCTATACCTCAAGTGGAACCTACACCTGCGATGGAAGTGGTTGAGCTACTGCCAGTGGAATTGATTTCCCTGTTGCTGAAGGGTTCTGCACCTTAGGTGGAACCTACATCTGCGATAGAAGTGGTTGAGCTACTGCCAGTGGAATCAACTTCCCTGTTGCTAAAGAGTTCTGCAACTTAGGTGGAACCTGCTTCTGCGATGGAAGTGGTGGTGGAATCGACTTCACTATTGGTGGAATCGATACCATAGGTGGTGGTGGTTGCTGAGCTCGTGGAAGGGTCTGTACATGTTGTTGGGGCCTCTTCCATTTTTCCTCGAATTCTCGGATTCTTTCCTTGAATTCTCGAGAAAATTGCTCACGTTCTTCGGCAATTATTCAGAAAGTTCGGTGGCACTCTTCACGTTCTTTAGCCATCCTTGCCTGAAACGTATTAGCTTCTAGAACGACACGTGAACTTATATTTGAAAGTTCAATAGCCTGTTCCATAAAAATCTCGGCAAGATCTTGAAAAGATTTGCCGTGTCTTTCCCCTCTCGCCATAGAAACACTCCGTTCAGAATGTCCCACTGGGCGTGCCATTATGTTTGGCCTTGAAAAAGCTTGCGCCGGTTCCGGTGGAACCGGGTGGGCATGCCAGGAACTGCAGTAGTTCCAAAGAGAGATCCAAACAATATTCCAGAGGGAAGATTGTGGGACCAGGCGATTGTGTTGAGGTCTGGAATGAACACCTCAGGGTTCTTTTTGCCTTTGATAAAGGACTTCAGGAAATTTAACTGGCTAGGAGGAACTGAGAAAGTAATTGGAAAGACTGTAAAATTATCTAATGAAAAGTAAAGTGCAGGACTGAAACTAATCATATTGAAAGTGCATTACAACGAAAAGTAAGGATAGTATTGAAATGCGTAGTTTGATTGGCGTTGAGTAGACCTTCTAAGTTACAACATATGCCCTATTTATAGAATTTAGTAATGGTAAATTGCATGCAATCACTTACTTCCTAAACTGCTGTATGTCCCACTTTGCATGTAACCGCTTAAAATCGCTTGCTTCCTTGGCTGCTATATGTCCCACTTTGCATGTAACCGCTTGCTTCTTTGGCTGCCATGTGTCCCAAGACTTTCCACTGGAATGTCGTAGTAACTTTTCATTGGAATCGACCAGCTTCCTAGGCTGCCATGTGTCCCATGTTGCATGTAACCGCTTGTAACCTCCCATTTCCTAGAATGTGTCCCATGACTTTGCATGCAACCACTTGTAACCACTCACTTTCTAGGCTGCCATGTGTCCGATGACTTTGCATGTAACCACTTGTAACCGCTTGCTTCTTTGGCTGCCATGTGTCGTAAGACTTTCCACTGGAATGCCGCAGTACCTTTCCATTGAAATCGACCTGGGTAATCTTCAACTAGAAAGTGGAAAATAAGGGTGTAAACAGAACCAATGCCATTGCATCATGGTGAGAGGCATATATAAGTGTTGGGGTAGAGTTTGATTTCAATTCTTATTGATAGTATGTATGCCCATCCTCTACTCAAGAGAGGGGAAATAGAACTTTAAGAAGTAGAATCATCCAATATCGTGCTGCAATAAAATTCTGTTGGCAGAAAGCAGTAAATTTCATGAAAGGTACTTGAGCTCTTCAAGCTTATGATCTGTTCATCCTTTATTTCAGATTTGAAATGGACCCATTCAAGAGGCTCCGTAATTAGAATAAGTTTGGTGGAGATGCAATTTGTAATACAGTCCAGTACCTATATTGTGGATAATTAATTATGCATGAAAAATAACAATTGGGAAGATGTTCATACATCTGTGTCTGCAACAGTATTGACATGTGTTTTCATATCAGCAGGGGAAGAAATTAAAAACTTCTAACAGTAATTCATCAAGGATTCTTTTTGATAAAAATAAGAGGGAGAAATATATGGTTGTATTGAATTGATGTGTATAATACAAAAGTATATAGGAGTTTATGTGGAGAGCAAGTCATTATCATATAAGATAATGATATATATGGTAATGAGGGTAGGTGAAGACGACTAACCCTAACCCTAGAATACAATACATAATATAATCTAAGAGCCCCCCTCAAAGTCAAGGTGGGTTATATGAAGTTATCTTGAGTTTGAAAACAAGATCCTTGAAGCGGCGTGACGGAAGCGATTTGGTGAAGATATCTGCTATATGATTATGAGAAGTAATGGACTGTAACTGTAAGGTCTTCTGAAAAAGATGATGACGAAGAAACTGACAATCAACCTCAATGTGTTTAGTGCATTGAGATAAGTAAATCATCAAGAAAGAAACAATAACATGTGATAGAACGATGATCTGTAGGATCTCCTGCCCAGTCGGCATCTGAATAGACATGAAGAACAAATGACGACTGAGAAGAAAAATAAGGCCCATGAAACATAGTGCCTTTGAGGTAGCGTAGGATGCGAAGAACTACAGTAAAATGAGTAGATCTAGGGGCATCCATGAACTGATTAACTATATGGACGACATAAGAGATGTCTGGATGGGTGACAGTGAGATAAACCAGACTACCAACCAATTGTCGATATAATGTACCGTCTCGAAGAGATTCGCCATCATGTAGATTACGTCTTGTGTTGTGCTCTAATGGTGTATCAACAATCTTGCTATCAGTTAAGCCTGATTTTGAAAGAAGATACACTACAAGAAAACAGTTTTTTTACCATGGTGGAAGACGCTTTACACTACGGTTTTGAACCGTGGTGGAATCGGCCGTGGTAGTAAATTGATGATTTTCTACCAAGGTTTTGCACTGTGGTAGAAAGTGAGTTTTCTACCACGGTGTTGGACCATGGTAGATTAAAAACATTTTACCACGGTGTTGGACCGTGGTAGATTAACAACATTTTAGCAGAGTGGTTGAAGTTTACTTTACTACCATAGGCTAAACCCGTAGTAGAAAGTCTTATATAGTTTTTTCAAAAAATAGTGTAGCCCCTATCTAAGGAGGCCTTTTTTAAAAATATATATATATATATATAGCCTTGCAAGGGCCTAACAGAAGAAACCCTAAATAAATAAAAATAGCATTATAACCAAAATAACTTACAACTGGTCAATAACATCATATATATAACCAATTCCAAATCATGATTTTATACAAAAATTATCCATATACAAATTTCAAAGAACACATTCATAATAGGAAAAGTGGTCTAGCAAGTCAAAGGGCTATGCTAAATAGAAGCAACAAAAAGGCCAATGAAGTACACGATCCACCTTATATCTTTACTTAACTAAAATAAAACAAAAATTCTTCATATCTTCTTACTCTGTTTTAGTCTCTCTCTTCCATGCAACTTCTTCATTAGCCATACACAGTGGTAAGAGAATATATAGTAGCAACAAAAAAAGTAACGGCAACCGCAATCCCGAATAACCATCCAAGCTATGACCTACAAAGATGTAATAGTTGAAGTAAGAGAATGTAAATCAAGTAGTAAAGTTGCAAAAATTAAATCAAGTTAGGAGCCTCAGCATACACATTTGTCCATTTGAACATGATAGTTCTAAAAATTGATTAAAGTAACTTGATATTTGGATGTGAGGAAAGTGTACGTTTAATTGTTGCAAACTTGCAAATTAAGAGATTCATTTAAAAAAAAAAAAAAAAAAAAAAAAACCCCTTAAATTTTTGTGCCAAATTGGTCGTTTCTCTAACAAGCATATTATTGTTTGAATACGTCAAGTTCCTCCATGAACAAGTCAGTGTAAGTTCCATATATATATATATATATATATATATATATATATAATGACCTTAAATTAAATGTAAATAATACCTAAACTAATATATATTGGTATTACCATTTCTAATATGTACTCTTGCTCTTCACATATAATATCAGGTTTTAAGTACTCCATACTTGAAAAATGGAGCTCTTATTCAACAACAACAGGTACAAAATGTGAGATATAATTTTTTTAATTGGCAAATTTCGACGTCAAAACAAGTTTGATCGAGTTGTAATTCTCAGGTTACCATACCAAGATCGAGATCAGCTACGGAATTGGAAGGTTGTTCATACGAAGATCTACGAACAAGGAAAGAACAACACTTTAGGAAGTTGTTTCCCACTTAGGACATTATACCTATATTGTATATTCTTCAAGTTACCAAAATAGAATTCTTTCCAAGTTTTCGAACATTCTTCAGAATTTTGTCAAGTGGGAACCGGCACCAAGCTTAGGAACCGGTTCAAGAACCTTAGGTTCGAAGAAAAAGTTATGTCCTTTGGTAACTGGTTCCAAAGATGGCTACCGGTACCAACTGCTGATACAGTTTAGGATTTCAGTTTCCTGATTCTGTTCAAACTTCCTATTTGGTTTAGAATACTACCAAAAGTCCTATGCATGAAAATTACCTTGTCCTATGCATATCTAGGTCTTTGAAAATTCTATATAAACCTTGATATTGATCTAGGTTGATACGGTTTTTGCACTACAGCTTCATAATTCTTAAAAGCCTTAGAGAGATATTTTTACAGAAATTCAAAGTTGATTTTTCTGTTATTCTTTCTAGAACACACACAAAAACACAAGTGAGTTTAGAGTATTGTTCAAATCCTGATCGTGATCAAAGTCTTGCATCTACAATGATCAGAAAAGCAGATATATTACTTCTTCTACAAATTCAAATATTGAAGAATAGAGGTGAAGTGATCACACTTTGAAAGGGTCAAAGCATTCGAGGAGTATTGTTTAATCTACCAACAATCCTTCTATAATGTAATATTTCTCATTTTCCTATTTTCCATTTTCTAGGATATTTTTTTATTTTTCTGGATTATTTCATCTTCTTCGCGTTTTGCGTGTCGGGCACTGTGGAGTGTACCGGGTGAGTTCTCATGGTTGGTTAGGGCATTTCTTTGAGTTTAAAACTCTTAGAAATATATTGGTTGCCATTTCAAAAAAATTCTATTTTCGGACTAGGAGGTCCCAAGTGGGACCCGTTACTGGGTACTGTGTTTGGGTTTGTTGCATTTCATGCATTTATTTGATGTACAATTATGTGGATGCATGTTTATTTAAGTGGTCATAATGTGGTTAGTGTGTATATATATATATATGTTACAATGTAAAGGTTGATTTTTATTAAGCTGTGGGACCAACCAACATTATAAGTCATTACAAATGACTTTAAGATCATTTACTGATCATTATTTCTTCTCTCTTCATGCCAATTATGTAATATTACCAATTATATATATATGTGTGTGTGTGTGTGTGTGTGTGTGTGTGTGTGTGTGTGTGTGTGTTAAATATAATATTTATCGCCGTGGCCCCACAGGGGCTTTAGTGTTATAATGACCAAGGGGTCATTACCAGACCCAACTTTCTTTCTCTCTCCACGCAGCTGCCTTCTCTCTTCCTCTGATTTTAATTTTTCTTTTTCATTTCACAATTTCAAGCTTCAATTACTCTTCATCTTTTGGAGATTTTTGGTGCCGTTTGCGGCAAAACGGAAAGCTTATCGAGATCTACGCATTGATGTAAGCAATTCCTCATTTGGCCAACCCTAGGAATTTTGAATTTTTGGACCCATTTGGGGGTTTTTGCATCTAAGTGAGGTAGGGGCCTCTAATTCATAATCTTCTTGTACTTTTGTGAATTATCTTGTATAAATTATTACCTAGCATGTTCAATTAGTATAAATTCTTGCAAAAATTGCTTAAATGTTGTATATGGAATGTTTAATTATGTGTTGAATGATGTGTTGTGATCGAGCATGCTTGTATGGACTAAAATTCATGTTTTGTAAGCTTACCATGCTAGATTATTGTTGAATGAAAGCATGTATATATATATTTTTTTACTTGTAAAGCATGCTATGTTGTTTAAGTTGAATTAATTGTATGAAAATGAGTATTGGCATGGTATAAAAAGGCATGATGCATTTCATGCATAAGCATTAGGCAAGGAAAATGGGAAAGTTATTTTGAAATGGAATGAAAAAGGTTTTGGGGAAAAAGTTTTGAAAGTGTTTGCGAAAACCTGGCTGCCTAGGAGTTACCTAGGGACTGTGGCGTTGGTGTGGCCTAGAGGGAATTGGGGAGATTTCCCTAGCTTTGTTGAGTTACATGGGCCCCAAATGACGCCATGGAGTTGCCATGGGTCAGGGACAGTTAACTAATTCTTCTCTCGTGCCGCTATGGAGTTGCTATGGGACTGGTTACACTAACAGTTTGAAAATAATGATAGAAAAGGTTTTGGAAATGGGGAATGACATTGCATTTGATAGCATAGCATGGATATTTTATGACTTGGATTATTGTTGTTGATGTTGTGGTTATATTTTTTCCCCGAAAATGGTATGATCCTGGTTCTTTTTCCTATTCCTTATTTGGATTCACAGGGTCATAAGAGGTATGTCTTAGACACCTCCTACTGAGCCATTGTACTCACCCCTTTATTATTAATATTTTTCAAGACACTGAAAGGGGAGGCGGATAACTATCCACCACAAGATTAGACGGGATTGGAGATTTATATTTTGATATTTTTGTTTTAGAACTTTAATATTTTGTAAATATAAATCTTGACTATTCTGTAAAACTTTAGTATGATTTGTATAATGTTGTAAATTACGGACTTTTGATTTCAGCTGTATTTCATAGACTGTAAATTGACGTAATTAGAGTACGTTCCTAGTAAAAGAGTATGAGACTAGGTAGTGGACTAGCGTTTTCATGTTTTTAGAGGAATTGGAGGAACGAGACTCTTTTTATATGTATATTGTTATTTTGGGAATGTTTTATATTATTTGCATTGTGCATTGAGACATGATAGATTAGTTTATAGCCAAGTGAGGCCATTACATTTTTTTTTTTTGTGCATTTCAATAGGTTGTGGTAGGACCCTTTTTAGTAGAGGTCATGCCGAATTTTTTTTTTTTTTAATGACTGGTATCATTTTTGGGTCGTTACAATTTGGTATCAGAGCTTTTGGTTCGAAAACCATTAGGACAATGGGTAGAGGCCTACCTGGGGTTGTGTGGGAAGTCATTTGTATTATTTGTGTGATTATTGCAAAAGTGTTTTGTTATTTGAAAAGCATGTTTAACTGTTTACTAGCTTACATGTATATGTGCTTACGGTTTTGAAAAACATGCTTCCTTGCTATATGTTTGCCCGTTTATATGTTTATATGCTAAAGTTTATGTTACATGGCCATGTACGAGGAATAATTAGATGATCTAACCATGAAAATGAAATGGGAATGCATTTGAAAGTATGTTATACATGATAAGATGGCAAGCTGTGAGCACGGATTGTGCAAATGTGTAGTATATGAAATGATGATTAGGATGGAAAGGATACTTAATTTCACATAATAATTTAATGGACTTATTATTTAAACTTCTGTGATAGGATTAAACTTCTGTGATAGGACACGGTTGTGTCAAGGGTTATGCTTCGGTTATTATGTATATATACATATATAAATATGTCTTGTGTATATACTTATATTCTTATGTGTTTATGTGGTCGAGTATGGGATGGTTGTGTGAGTTTTGACCTGAGTAGGCGAAGAACTCGGATGCTCCAGAGTTGTTGGGTGCCAGTTCTTATCGAACTAATGGCTTGCTCTTTTAGCTCGTGGATTGAGCTATTTGGTATGTAGTCATTTTGATTTTCTTGTTATATTTTTGGGGTGCTTAGAGCACGACTTTAGAATGAGTTGTATTTCATGGCATGGTGATTGTGAGTTTTATGCATTGGTGCATGGGTTTCTTATGACCGTGGGGGTCAGGTGTGCGAGTGAGGATTTTTTGAGAAAGGTATAACCTTACGAGGTTAGTGTTTGTGACTTGGGTCATGGTTTGGTGCAAAGGTTCTTTTTAAACCAGTTGTGGTAAGTGTGACAGAGGTTGTTTGAGTCACAAATGCAATATATGGGTTGTAAATGTGTATTGCGGGTGTTCTGGTACGGTATAAGGAAGTGTGTTGGTTGCGGTTGGTTGAGTGGTGATTCTCACTCTGGGAAACTATGGGAGTGTGCTATGGGTAATCGACTCTCGGTGAGTCGGTTGCATGGCTCGGTTGATGAGTGGGGTTTTGGGTTGGCACGGCTGTCTCAAAGGTCTCAAGGTGAGATATAGTGGTTTATTTTCGCCGTATAGTGTAGGGTCACACGATAAGGCAGGTAGTGTGAGGTCATTGAGGTGCTCGGTCTTTTGTGGATGAATTGATTGATGGTAAGTACTGTGTTATCGTGTGCATTATGTTTTAGAAGTGAAAGCTGTGGACTGGAATTGAATTTCAATTGTCTAGAGTACCAGGAGATAGTGCTTCCTGTTTAAGGATTCAAAGAGATAAAGTGTCGATTGGAATGATTAGGATGAGGTTGATCTTGTAGGTTTAGTTGGTAGCCCCATTTGACTTTTGTCGAGGCCAAGAATGTTTTGAGGAACAATGAGGAGAAGTAATGATATTGAACTTAGGGGCATGAAGTTTTCTTGTTAGGTATTGATGAGCGCTAAAAAGTGCGTATTTAAACCCCTTAAACTTAGGCATTCTAGTACCCTTATCTATCTTACTTTACCGTTTTAAATTGATTTCATGTTATCTCCATTTTCAGGCACTTATCCCGAAAATAAGCTAACTCAGCCAAATAAGAGCAGAAATGAAGCAATTCTGAGATGAATCAAAGAAAGGAGCCAAGTGGAAGCAAAAAGGAAGCAAAAGGAGGAATTCAACATCTTCGATCGATCTCAGATCAAAGTTCAATCGATCCAACATAATCGATCTCAGGACTTCAAGATGGATCAGAGCCATGATGACATTTTTAGAGATCTCAAAGTTCGATCGATCCAACATCATTCTTCGATCAATCGAACTACCTTGTCCTTATCCAAATGATTAATCTTATCTATTTGTACCACCCTACCAACCACTTTTGTCCTTTTCCCAAAAATATCTTCAAAATATCTCAGATTTGTTTTTATCCAAAAAGCGCCGCCATTGAGGATCGATCCAACTTCAGTTCGATAGATCTCAGCTATGTTCGATCGATCCAAGTCCAAGGTTCGATCGATCGATCGAACTTCCTCCAGTGCGAAAAAGTTAAATTTCTAGCTCATTGAAAGCTATCCTTATCCAATCATTGGGGAATATTTTGTACACGACCCCAGCTCATTTTGTGTGTCACTTGACCTACCTTTATATAGAATATGATACACTTTTTGAAAATGAGATACTTAGCATACCAAGAATCAAGAGAGGCTATTTTTAAGGAGGAAGAAAGGAGGAAGAGGCTAGAGACACAAGCTTGGGAGCTCTTCATCAACCAAGGAGTAGATTTCTTCCATGGAGTTTGCCCTTGAAGGTTGGAGAAGCACTACCATGAGTGGCTAGACATCCTCTTGGGGCTAGAGTTAGCCCCAAACATGCTTTCTACATCTTAATTTTGTGTATTATTGAGGGATTAATGTTGTAATACATGTTTTGGCACTTAGATATATATAGATCTTGTTTATTCAATGATTTATGTGGTTTGATGCTTCCAATTGATCATTTCATTCTATCCATATGTCTATGTATGCTAGAATAGATGTTCATGTGTTTGTCTCTATTTCTTGTGTTATTGATGCATGTCTATGTGTATTAATGCCATAGATCTAGAGATTGTTAAAACATAGTACTTAATGGAATGCTCTTGTAATTTTCTTGATGGTTCATGCTCATTTCTTGATGGATTATACCTCTCCTTTAGTTTAATTAGTTTAATTTCATGTCATAGCTTAATTGTAGTGTAGTGGTAGTATAGTTGTTAGATGGGAGGACAATCCATGCTTGTTGTTTGATGTTCCATACTTTTGAATGCAAGTAGCATATGTTTCTAACCTTGTGGTGTATTTGGCTTGTGAGCTTAATGAAAGGATTAATAACTTGCTAGATATATTGTGTTTTTCATATGCTATTTCGAGAATATATACTTAATTGTTAGATATATTGTGCTTTTCACATGTTGCTTAGACAATATATACTTAATTGGTCACCCTTGCTAATTGAATCAACCACACACACACACACATCAATATTGCAACACACATTTCCCTCATTAGTTACTTGTTAAGGGTGTAGAAAAGTATTGTTTGGTGGTGACCTCTAAACCCCAAGATCTCTCTCTCTCTTAGTTACTCTTTATTGTATTCAATTATTTAGTTTAATTTGCCTTCTAGTTTAATCAACCAACCAACTATTTGTTTGATCACTCGACCTACAAACCCTAATTGTGATTCCACAACCAAATTCGACTCCAATCCCTTGGGACAATCCTTACTCGCCCTAACTATATTTTTAGTGAAGGTAGTAGTGGCTTTTATAAATGCAAAATTTGGCCCTCGCCTTAATGCACACTTTCTAAGCTTATGGTGTAGCGATGACGAACACGCCACCAGGTATGTATATCACCTTAGAAAGAGTGGTTTGGTGTTGTCGGTTAAGCATTAATGATTGATGGCATCGTTAATGGTATTGAGGTGACAATTGGGTATTGAGCATTTTGAGATTTGTGCTCATTTTGTTTTGAGGGTTTGTCGGCATGATATTGCCATATGGAGGTTCTTTTCTAGTGTTCGGTAGTGGTCGTTATGGGTGTATCGAGAGTAATGGTGCTTATTTTCTTGTTATGGTGATGTTGTCTTAAGGATGTTCGAGGAAGAATCGCTTAGTTGTGGCTTGATGGTCTGGTGGGGTGATAGGTTTGAACCGTTGTTTCGAATGAGTGGCAGTAGAGGCGTTATGGCGTGATGTTTAGCATTGATGAGCATAATGGTTTCAGGTGTGATCCGAGGATGGATTAGAATTATGAGTGTATGTTGTCAGGTAGGTGATGGGATTGTGCGCCAGTTAAGGCGATTGTGGACGGCTTAGTCTTTAGAGCCAACAAGAGTGGTGTTGCCATATAGGCAGATTTTTCTTATAGCGAGTAGTGGGTTGTTATGACTAAGGTCACGGGTCTTGTGTGCATGGTGTTCGAGGTAGTGTCGCCTTGAAAGGTGAAAGTGGAATGGGTGGTAAAGTGTCATTTTAAGGGTTAAAGGTTGTCATTTAGGAGTGACGATTCCAAATAGAACGAGATACGGTGTCCGAAGGGCTGTGTTTATTTCTAGTGTTTGTGTGTTGTGAGCATTGGTACTCTTGTCTGGTTGGTTTTGGTTAGCATGAGTATTGCGGTGTAGCGTATGTGAGGTTCTGTGTCAGTGTTTGACGGTCCGTCAGTGGCGAGGTTGCCTAGATTTATGTTTGTAGTCTCATATGTGTTTCTAGTTGGTTCTCCTCCTTATGTGTAAGGAGTTCATTTCATCTCAAGTGAGATCGGGTGTCCATGGTTAGACGATTAGTGAGTAGTGTATAACAGGGTGTTAGGGGCATTCAGGTGCAAGTCGTCAGTCTCTTGTGAGAATGGGGTTCGTTACCCTCTCCGTTTGTTCTAGTCCTGGCAAGGGCATCTTCGTGAGTCTTGTTCTCCATTTAGGAGTTGTGCGCGTCCATGGTTGGACGGACCTATGTGTGGTTTGTTGCGTTATTAGAGTTTATCGGTGGAGGTCCTGGTTGAATGGGTCGACTCATTCCCACGGAGGGAGAAAAAGTCGTTAGTTTTTAGTAGCGTTTATTTTGGGAGTGGTCTTGATCAGAGGAATGTGAGGCACGAGTTATCGAATAGGAATTGTGTTTTCAGTGTTTGGTACTAGCAGTGATGGCTAGGGGATGAGTCGTGAACTGTGAGTTTGAGGATAATTAGGTGATGTGATGTGAGTCATACATTCGGATGTTTTTATAGGTATTTGATTCGAGCAGTGTCTTAAGGATAAGGGTCGATGTCGCCTTAGACTTTCGTGATCAGAGAAAGTGAATGTGCGAATCCATTGAGGAATAATAGGAATGATTGACTTTGGTTTTAAGATCTTAAGTATGAGATAGTCGCATTGTGTGTTTTGACGAGGTAAGAATTGAATCGAGTGATCTCAGGGAGTTGTTTACATGGTATGGGTGCTATAAAGAGATTAGAGATCATATGCGTTAGTCGATGATTATGGTACTTGGTGTCGTATTGCTTTTAGCTTGTTATGGGTTGTGTGATTGAAGTATGATCGGATTTTAAAGCTAGTATGTGACTGTATAGTTGTTGAGGTTATATAGAGCGATGGATTGATTAGAGAGCGGATCTCGTGGTTGTTTTGTGGACTGTATGCGGTTGTGTTGGAGGTTTAGACCTGAGGATAGGAACAACATCTACATTGAGACCAGATAGATGATGAGAATGGCCAGTCCAACCATTTCTCCTGAATCAGTCCCTTTTTAGCACGATATCGGGTCAAAGGTCACTGATTGTTTCGATTTGTCAGGAACAATGAGAGTACAGTATTGCGTGATGTGTCGGCATGACAGGGTGGATGCAGATGGTTTGTCTCGGGTGATGAGGTGTGCTAAGTAGGATCAAGTGTTCGATAAAGGTTGTGGTTCAATTATTTGATCGTTAAAGATCTTGTTTTGAGGTTCTGGGTATAGGATAGTGCGTTTCATTGTTCTGGTTGTTCATGATTATGTAGTTATTGGGAAATCTGTTGATTAGTCATCTTGAGGTTACTTAGTATGATGATTGTCGTATAGTGCAGTTAGTAGTTGCTAGAGAGGTTATGCGATGGTGTAACTTTACGGTGGATAGCTAGTGCTTTGTCTGATAGGTACGTGTAGATTTGAGTTTGAGCTTGATTGTGAGATAGATGGGGTTCATCGTTTGGGGTCTTGTGTTTCATGTTCAGGGGTCTTGTGACTATTCTTTTTTCAGGCTTTGAAGCCTTTCGTGGCAGTGCTGAGTGGACTGATGTCCGTTTTGAGTTGAGTATTGTGTAGAGCATATCAGTTGGTTTTGTGTTGCAAAGTTATGAGAAATGAGTACCTTCATAGGGTGGTGAGCATTGGGTTTCAGTGATAGTGGTTTCTAATTGCTTGGTTATGTCTGGTGTCTACGGCTATCATGTTAGTGAGTTTATGGTCTTGGGGTTTTGTGAGGTTTCTTGGAAAGGTGTGCGGCTATGAGCCTCCTTCTTTAAGGAAGGTAGATTTCGAGGACGAAATCTCTTAAAGGAGGGTAGATTATAAATATTACCAATTATATATATATATATATATATATATATATATATGTTAAATGTAATATTTGTTGCCGTGCACCCCACAAGGGCTTTAGTGTTATAATAACCAAGTGGTCATTACCAGACCCAACTTTCTTTCTCTCTCCACGCGGCTGCCTTCTTTCTTCCTCTGTTTTTTATTTTTCTTTTTCATTTCATAATTTCAAGCTTCAATTACTCTCTCATCTTTTGGAGATTTTTGGTGCCGTTTGCGACAAAACGGAGCTTGTCGAGATCTACGCATTGATGTAAGCAATTCCTCATTTGGCCAACCCTAGGAATTTTGAATTTTTGGACCCATTTGGGGGTTTTTGCATCTAAGTGAAGTAGGGGTCTCTAATCTATAATCTTCTTGTACTATCTTGTATAAATTATTACCTAGCATATTCAATTTGTATAAATTCTTGCAAAAATTGCTTAAATGTTGTATATAGAATGTTTAATTATGTATTGAATGATGTGTTGTGATCGAGCATGCTTGTATGGACTAAAATTCATGTTTTGTAAGCTTACCATGCTAGAATATTATTGAATGAAAGCATGTATATATTTTTTTATTTACTTGTAAAGCATGCTATGTGGTTTAAGTTGATTTAATTGTATGAAAATGAGGATTGGCATGGTATAAAAAGGCATGATGCATTTCATGCATAGGTTTTGGGGAAAAAGTTTTGAAAGTGTTTGCGAAAACCTGGCCGCCTAGGAGTTGCCTAGGGATTGCGGTGTTAGTGTGGCCTATAGAGAATTGGAGAGATTTCCCTAGCATGGTTGAGTTACCTGGCCCTAAATGACACCATGAAGTTGCCATGGGTCAGGGACAGTTAGCCAATCCTTCTCTCGTGCCGCCATGGAGTTGCCATGGGATGGGTTACACTAACGGTTTGGAAATGATGATAGATAAGGTTTTGGAAATGGGGAGCGACATTGCATTCCATAGCATGGCATGGATCGTTTATGACTTGGATTATTCTTGTTGATGTTGTGGTTACATTTTTTTCCGAAAATGGTATGATCCCGGCTCTTTTTCCTATTCTTTGTTTAGATTCACGGGGTCACAAGAGGTGTGTCTTAGGCACCTCCTATTGAGCCATTGTGCTCACCCCTTTATTATTAATATTTTTCAGGACACTGAAAGGAGGTGACGGACGACCATCTACCACAAGATTAGACGGAATTGGAGATTTATATTTTGCTATTTTTGTTTTAGAACTTTTTATATTTTGTAAATATAAATCTTGACTATCTTATAAAACTTTAGTATGATTTGCATAATGTTGTAAATTATGAACTTTTGATTTCAGCTATATTTCATGGACTGTAAATTGACGTAATTAGAGTACATTCCTTGTAAAGGAGCATAAGATTAGG